TTCCACGATCTCTCCTTGGGCTTGAAACGAGGAATAAGGACGACTAAAGTGAGTATAGGAGAGGTAAGAATATTATCACATTACTTTACAAGAATGCTTTGTTACTGGAGCTTTTCTCGGACTACTGTTTGATCCATACGAAACAGAAAAAAAAGAAGTTTGTAACTGTTTTTTTGTCGGATCACTGATTGATCGATTAAAAAAACAGGAAAAAAACCACAAAAAAAACAGAAAAACTCTGGAAAAAAAGAGAAAAAAAAAGTCTGTTACTGTTTTTTTGCTGGATCGCTGATTGATCCATAAAAAAAACAGAAAAAAAAGAAAAAAAAACTGAAAAAAAGAAACAAAAACAAAGGAGAAAGAAGCTATGTCCAGTAGAAAATAAAAAAAAAACCAGAAAAAAATTAATTTGTTACTGTTTTTTGCTGGGTCGCTGATTGATCCATAAAAAACAGGACAAAAAGAAAAAAAGAAGTTAGTAACTGTTTTTTTGTCGGATCACTGATTGATCGATTAAAAAAACAGGAAAAAACCCACAAAAAAAACAGAAAAACTCTGGAAAAAAAGAGAAAAAATAAGTCTGTTACTGTTTTTTTGCTGGATCGCTGATTGATCCATAAAAAAACTGAAAAAAAAGAAAAAAAAACAGAAAAAAAGAAACAAAAACAAAGAAGAAAGAAGCTATGTCCAGTAGAAAATAAAAAAAAAACCCCTCAGTTTTTAAGAAAAAAATTAATTTGTTACTGTTTTTTGCAAATGCCACATTTTTCAAAACACAATTCTTCATTTAACACTGGACTTACTTCTTGCACTCTTCCTAAAGGCCAGAGTTGAGCAGTAATACGACTGATTGTTGTCCTGTGGACAGTCTCCACACTGTTATTTCTGCAGTTTCATTCCGCAGTGATCTGGGCCTTCTTGGCAGCATCTCTGATCAGTTTTATCCTTGTATGAGCTTGAAAAGTTTTAGAGGAAAGGCCGGGTCTTTGTCGATTTGCAGTGGTTGATCTTTCCATGTCAATATTAGCGCTTTGCACGGTGCTCCTTGGGATTGTTTAAAGCTTGGCGAAATCTTTTTGTATCCAAATATCCGGCTTTAAACTTCTCCTCAACGTATCTGGGACTGCTGGTGTTGTTCCTTGTTTCATGATGCTCTCTGCGCTTTAAATGAAACTCGGAGACTATCACAGAAGCAGGTGATTTATACGGAGACTTGATTACACACGGTTCATTTCTTTTTATATTCTTCAGTCATTTTAGGACAACATTTGATCATTCAGAGATCCTCACTGAATTATGGAGAGAGTTTGCTGCACTGAAAGTAATGGGGTCTGAATTAATTTTGCGACGCCCAATTTTCAGTTCTTTATTTGTTATAAAAATGTTGTTGAAAATATCCAATAAATATTCGTTTTCACTTCATGATTGAGTTCCAACTAGTGTTGATTCTTCACCAAAAAATTACAGTTTGAAGGTTTAATTATGTTTGAAGACTGAAATGTGGCAAAAGGTTGAAAAGTTCAAGGGGGCCCGAATACTTTGCCTAGGCACTGTATCTGAGCTAAGTAGCCAGGGCACATGATCATCAGAGCCATAGTGGCAGGACCATCACTGCACATGGAGCATAGCACCTGCTTTCTCTCAGTCTCTCTGTAGCAAACACCCCAACCCAACGATAAGTGATTCAGCCTGTAAGAGTGCTAGGCCTACTGGACTGCTTGAGAAAGTATTTGGCAAATACTATGGTATGTAATGCACTACATAAACACTTGTTTGCTGTAAATTAGACAACCTATAACCTTTACAGTTCTTCACTGTGATGACTATACTCTATCAAGACCAGGGAACCAGCAGAATAAGTAGGTTACTGCTAATTAACCGTAACACATCTGTTTTCTGTGAGTGGTACTGTCCTTTACAAACAGTGGGGAGGATCTTTACTGTGGGAAAAAAATGTGTCTTTACATTACTCTGATTGTTTTTCCCATTATTCAACTAGATTGAGGTGTTATCAAATAGCAGAAAGATGAATTTAATGGATGAACCAATGGTCCTCAATATTAAAGGTGGTGAAACTCAGTTTTTTTGTAAAACAATGGCACTTTGATGTTTAGATCGTATCCTTTTGAAAGGTTGATCAAAGTCAAATGATCCCCAGTGATCTTTGCATTGTTAGTGTTGTATCCAAGCAATGGAAAATTGTGTTTTGAAAAATGTGATTTTGATTCGAGGTTGTGTTTTTTGTGTCCAGTTTTAAAAAATAACACAGGGGGAACGGTATCTGACGGGGGTTATTTGGCCATCAGGATGCGTTTCCCCTGTTTTAAAACTGTGAGGGAACGGTATTTGATGGGGGGTTATTCCCCTGTTTAAAACTGGCAATCAGGATGCGGTTTCCCTGTTTAAAACTGAAGAGGGAGGGAACGGTAATTTGATGGGGGTAATTTGGCCGTCAGATTCCGTTTTTCCCTGTTTTTAAAACTGATGGGAACGGTATCTGACGGGGTGTATTTGGCCATCAGGATGCGGTTTCCCCTGTTTTTAAAACTGACGGGAACGGTCTTTGATGGGGGTTATGCTTGGCCATCAGAGATGTGTTTCCCCTGTTTTAACCAAATCTGAAGGGAACGGTATTTTGATGGGGTTATTTGGCCATCAGGATGTGTTGCCCCCGTTTAACACAGGGGGACGGTATCTGACGGGGGTTATTTGGCCATCAGGATGCGGTTTACCCTGTTTTAAACTGAGGGGGGGGAACGGTATTTGATGGGGCGGTTATTTGGCCATCAGGATGTGGTTTCCCACGGTTCTAACACAGGGGGGAATTTGGCCATGGTATCTGACGGGGGTTATTTGGCCATCAGATACCGTTTCCCCCGTTTTAAAACTGAGGGAACGGTATCTGACGGGTGTTATTTGGCCATCAGGCTGCGGTTTCCACGTTTTAAAAGGGGGAACGTATCTGACGGGGGTTTATTTGGCCATCAGATACCGTTTCCCCCGTTTTAAAACTGAGGGAACGGTTTATCTGACGGGGGTTATTTGGACATCAGGATGCGTTTCCCGTTTAACACAGGGGGAACGGTATCTGACGGGGGTTATAATTTGGCCATAAAGGACGCGTTTTCCCCTGTTTAACACTGAGGGAATACATGTATATTATACACATGATAGATAATGTATTTAATATTATATATAGGCTATATATACTATATATAGTATATATATATATATAGGCTATATATATATATATATATCTATAGGCTAATATATATATATATATATATATATTATATATAGGCTATATTTTATATATTTATATATATATATAAGCATATATATATATATAAATACATTTATCTATCATGTGTATACATACATACATACATACATACATACATACATTACATACTATACATACTACATACATACACTACATACAACATACATAAAACATACATACATACATACATACATAATACATACATACATACAACATACATACATACATAATACATACATACTGTAATACATACATACATACATACATGATTTTATTTAGTTTATTTGTCATATCATATTATATATATATAGGCTATATTAATATAAAGTTGTCATACCTGAAAAAACCAAAAACAGCACAAACGATATTTTTCTGCACAAACCAGCCCACTAACGAGTGTGTGGCTATTTTTCACTGAGTTTTGCGTGGGGTAGGGGCCAACTTCACTCAGGTGCTTTCACTGTGTCTGTAGTTTGCCTCGCCGCGCAAGCACGGCTCGCTGGTTACGAGTGCTGAACAAGCACGCGCACTATTTGCCGCGTGCGAGGCGCGGAGCGGGGCGGGAGCGGCGAGTAGACGCAGGGGAAACAGTATCTGACGGGAAACGCGGCTCGACGTAACACGGCGTCCGCTCCTCATTGGTCCATTCCCCAAGCTGTAAGAATACCACAGTGCACTGTAACTGTGGTACTCTTACAGATTTGTTTTATAATATTCTATGGGAGTCACGTAACTACACCATTTCCTGCGAGGGTGGGAATTAAAACATCAGAATCAGAATCATTTTTATTGCCACGTAAGTAACAGGAAGTCACAAACTTGAAAACATGACCAACATTTGTCATAATATCACCGACAACAGTGATTATTCTTAGGATTAGGGATCTTTTTGTGTCCCTGAAAATAGTTATTGTTGAATATCGCTCAGTGATCACAGCGTTCACCGCGTTGCCATGACGACACGTCCGTTGCGACGAAAATGACGTTGGGATCATGTGTCTGTCTGTATAATTAAAATAAAAACCTTACAAGATTAATTGATGTCCGTTTTTAAACTGATAAGAATATTTCCACATTCTTTAAACAGGTTTAAGTCGATATTATGGCCAAAGCGGTTATGGAGGAAGTAAAGTATTATTTGAGAAAAATTACGTAAATACCTTTTTGTAAATGTTGTGCAGGACCCCACCTAGTGGAGTGTCAGGGTAACAGCAAGTCTACAGAACCTCCAAGGTTATGATCAAAAATGGTTTTATACTGTATATGATGCAGTGTACATTATCAAGACGGCGCAGTAGGTATGAATACATGTTTTACAAAGGTAACTTTTTAATGCTTCACACAACTCAACCAAACCAAACTACGGCACATTTTTAGATTATCGAAATATATGTAACATCAATCACATAACATAATAAAGGATTCTGAAACATGTGCAGCTTCAAGGTATTTAATTCAATGGAGTCTGATGTAGCTAAGGTTAGAACTGCAGCCACAACCAGCCCTTTGAGGACCAGCATGACGCCCCTGCTGTAGATGATCATATATACAACATTAATTTTAATTCAATGTAGGTTTCTATAGTCCTAAATCACAACAGTTATCTCGAGGACTTTACTCATCTGTCAATTCGCCAACAGAGAACAGAGGAAAAAAAACAAAAAACGTTCAAACACAGGAATTGCAATGATTCAAAAAACTTAAAGGGGGCAGATGATCAATGTCCATAATTCTCAAGAGGCTCCCAAGTGGGCTTCCATATACGCTTACTGAAACAAAAAGAAAAGGTATATGAAGCATTCAGGGTAAAAACGTCTCAAAGCTAAATATTATTGTTTAACCACAGTAAATCAATTACCAAGTCCCACATGGAAGCCATTCCACAAGAACCTAAAAAAAAACAAAATATATATTTATCAGTATAAGACTCTACATTGCACTTGCGATCACCAGCAAAATCAGTATAAACAAACATTCATGTGGACACAAGATAAAGATAAAGATAAGATAAAGATAATTCTTTATAAAAAATACTGCTTGTTATGTAAAATTAAAGAAAAGTTAATGCAACCTACTTTTTTCCCCCGCTTCTTTATTATCTTAGACATAGGGTAACTTCCTGCTGTCTGCTGCTTGTTACACTCTTCACAAATATTTTTGGCTGCATCTACAGGGTGAAAAAAACAAACACAAATTGGAGGGTTCTTATTAGGGATGGCATAATGCAGTATAATCACAAATCAATTAGTCATATTAATACATTGGATACAATATATAGATGTGTATACGTCTTTGTCCCCATGATCTCTGACAGATGCATGTGTGTGTCCACATGGTCTCTGTGTCAGATGCATGTGTGTGTCCACATGGTCTCTGTGTCAGATGCATGTGTGTGTCCACATGGTCTCTGTGTCAGATGCATGTGTGTGTCCACATGGTCTCTGTGTCAGATGCATGTGTGTGTCCACATGGTCTCTGTGTCGATGCATGTGTGTGTGTCCACATGGTCTGTGTCAGATGCATGTGTGTGTGTCCACATGGTCTGTGTCAGATGCATGTGTGTGTGTCCACATGGTCTGTGTCAGATGCATGTGTGTGTGTCCACATGGTCTGTGTCAGATGCATGTGTGTGTGTCCACATGGTCTGTGTCAGATGCCATGTGTATGTGTGTGTCCACATGGTCTGTGTCAGATGCATGTGTGTGTGTCCACATGGTCTGTGTCAGATGCATGTGTGTGTGTCCACATGGTCTGTGTCAGATGCATGTTGTGCCTTTGTCAGATGCATGTGTGTGTGTCCACATGGTCTGTGTCAGATGCATGTGTGTGTGTGTCCACATGGTCTGTGTCAGATGCATGTGTGTGTGTCCACATGGTCTGTGTCAGATGCATGTGTGTGTGTCCACATGGTCTGTGTCAGATGCATGCGTGTGTCCACATGGTCTGTGTCAGATGCATGTGTGTGTCCACATGGTCTGTGTCAGATGTAAGTTTCTTCTCATGGTCCAAATAATATGCATAGGTTATTTTTACTGTGGTGCGTCTGGCCGCCGCACCTCTGTGCGCCTCCTGGAGTGTTTATGGAGGTCTACTTTGCTGAGGAGAGGCGTCTCACCGTGCTTACGGTGTGTAGGGGCCGTCATCTTCCTAATATTACACACAAACTAAGATTCCCACATAACTTCAAGGTCGATCACGGCTAAATGGTTGCTGTTCTATACACTGTAAAAATAAATAACCAAATAGATCGAGTAGTCTATATTAGACAATCCAAATACTTTCTTGTTGGAGAGGATTGGATTAATTGTATTGGATTAGGGGTGCAACGGTTTGAAAAGAATCACGGTTCGGATCGTACCTCGGTTCGGTTCATTTAAAAAAAAAAAAAAAAGTTTTGTCTTTTTAATAAACACAGCTCACGTGGACTCGTCACCTGCAGGAGGATCAGTGAGGGGCTGGTGCTCTGTGTACTGGGTGCAGCTCTGACTGCCACCCCCCTGACCTAGAAATGGATTAAGGGGAAGAAAATGGATGGATGGATGGATCGAGAGCATATTCCATCCATCCAATTATGTCTTTTTAACATAATTAATGAAAAACAACACAAAGTGCAACTTAAAAAGGCACTTTGAGGTCATTTACCCTCATATATTATCACCTTCCTGATTCTCCCAAGGAGGCGCTCCATTCTGGGCCCAGTCCAGCCTCATTTACTGCATTCATTTAATTTTTGGCATTATCAGTTGTGACTGGGATATTAGTACTAGGCCTGTTATCGTAACATAGTTCTTCGTTCCGCTCATGGATCTATTATAGGTTCCGCGGGACGTCCAAGCGTCAGTCGTGAACGCAACTGTCGATGTGCGGGAGAGTTAACTTTAGCCCGGTCTGACTGAGCATTAAGAGCTGCTTAAATGCCGCTCAAATAAGCGGTCTTTTTTTTTCAGTCTTTGTTGTGCCACAGTATTTACACACCGTGACAGTTTTGTCGACTATTTTATTATCAGTAGAGTTACAGTGAAGCCAAAATGCTCTCATACCAGGGATTTAAATGACGCGGGGCTTTCAAGCTCCTCCGTTCCTCTGCTCGCCATGATTATGCTGTGTGTGGACTGAACAACATGCGCACAACTTTTTTTTCATAAATCAAACCGCGGATCACGTCTGTACCGAACCGAAGACGTTGATCCGAACGGATCACGGATCAGTGATGAACCGTTGCACCTCTATATTGGATCAAAAAAATATATATACTAGTAGACTAGTATGGGTGATAAAAATAATATGCACACTATCAATTACTACTATATCAATCCACTTGAGGAGAAATGGTTGTTTATGTCAATTGATGCATACAATTTTATAAAACATCATTATTTGTCAATTAATGTGATGACACTTACTTTTAGCAGTCGCTTTTGGGACTCTCTTTGATCTTTTCAAAACTGGAATGGATAACGGTTCAGTTAGAATTTTAATAAACATTTCAAGTCATTGTATGAATGCAATATACATACTAAAAGTGGGACATAAAAACTACCTGTGGTGTCTTTGCTGGCTGGTGGGGGGGGCATGGACTCGGGTGGAGATGACGCACTAGCTCTGGAGGGCGGAGATGACGCACTAGCTCTGGAGGGCGGAGAGGACGCTCGAGCTCTGGAGGGCGGAGAGGACGCTCGAGCTCTGGAGGGCGGAGAGGACGCTCGAGCTCTGGAGGGCGGAGAGGACGCTCGAGCTCTGGAGGGCGGAGAGGACGCTCGAGCTCTGGAGGGCGGAGAGGACGCTCGAGCTCTGGAGGGCGGAGAGGACGCTCGAGCTCTGGAGGGCGGAGAGGACGCTCGAGCTCTGGAGGGCGGAGAGGACACTGTCGCACTGGAGGGCGGAGAGGACACTGTCGCACTGGAGGGCGGAGTGGAGGGCAGAGAGGACACTGTCGCACTGGAGGGCGGAGAGGACACTGTCGCACTGGAGGGCGGAGAGGACACTGTCGCACTGGAGGGCGGAGAGGACACTGTCGCACTGGAGGGCGGAGAGGACACATAGACTGTATCTCTAGAGGGGGGTGGACTGCTGTTCCAATCTAGACAAACACAAAAAAAATACTATGTTTTTTTTCGCATATGTACTCCATCACTGCCGCTACTTAAATGTCTGGAGTTGAAAAGGGATACCAAATTTATCAAAACGGAAGTTTTGCAGACCAAGATTCTCAAAACTACAATGCTGTAGCAGTAAAAGGCTGAAGAAAAGCAAAACTGAAAAATGTAAGTAAGAACAGGCAGAATGGATGTGACCTTCATCTGTCTTTCACTGTGATTACACTCACGGTTAATAATATTTGAGGTTAAAACATTTTTTATCATTCTTTATATCAAACTCTGCTATAAATACACATCTGTAAATAAATTATTTTATTAATGTAAAATTTGGGTCACATGAAAATTGAAAGAGGAAACAAAAAAGCCCTGATGAAGTCTACTTTTGTGCAAAGCATATCTTCTATGTTTATTTCAATACAATTTATGTATTAGTTTTAAAGTTGGCATAAAAAAAGTAACTTACTGTCAATTACAACGCCAAACAGGGCTTTTATTCGGTCCAGGCATTTTGTTGCTGGTTCACCCAGGCTCCACATTGGGTGTATCAGTGAATTCTTCCACCCATTTTTTTTGTGGCTTTGCCAAAAGTAGAAGTGCCCTATAGCCTAGGGCGTTGAGTTTCTCCACCTGAGACAAACAATGCAAGTTATTATTTAATTCTGCAGCAATGATTATTCTTGTCTACTAGATGCCCGTGTTTAACTAGTCTTGAGTTCAGAGGCTTCGACACATTTGTTATTGTCACTAATACATTTGTAATGGTGCACATTACACATTTCTAATCATACATATTTCAGTGAATTATTTTTTTAAATAAACACATTGCTGTTTCTCTGATGCAACATTGACAGTTTTACACAGTTCCCAATGTGAGATGTACTGCATTTGTGTTTAGTTATTTTTTCTGATAAAATGTTTAAGATCCTTTATCTTAAACATTTATCAAAATTAGTGTAACAACATTAACTTACGATTAGGGATGCTTCATCCACAACGTGTGTTGCTGAATAGTTCTTTTTTTGTTGAAGTATCCATTTTTCTTTCTTTTTTTCAAATATGTCCAATTTTTTTTTCAACCTCACTTTCCTAGGTTGCAATGCCTGGCAGATTTTGCATTTTTTAGTCGCAACGTGGATCTGGCTTGAGCAGCCTGTACATGTAGTTTTAGTCGACCCCGTTGACATGTCGACTCTGAAAACATAATAAAAAGGTCATCTGTGAATCATTAAAAGTTAGGCATCAAAGCTCACAAACACATGAATCCATGAAACTCCCAGCAAACCTTATCTATATGTGTATTATATTGATCCATCCTACAGCTCTTATACGGTTTCAGGGTTCCACGTTCTGTCTGTTTAGCATACAATTAGCATGCCCTATGCTGGTATGCTAATTGCGGGGAAACCTGATCATACTTTCACCTGCGAATTTTGTCAGCAACTCCGACACGATATCTATGTCTAACAACATAAAAGCATGGTGGAAAAGCGTATTCCGATTTTACAGTAACATTTAACTCTGGATATGAAAATACATCGTTCTTACCGCGTGCGTGGGACGTATCTTCAGCTGAGAAAAATGACGGAGCTCATACTTCCGGGTACACCTGGATAGTTTCCTGTTGATTATGTTCCACGGGAAGGACCGGGTTATACGCCAAAATATTCAGGCACATTTATTAACAGTGATTTCTTAGATGCATGCATTGTTTTATTATATACATGGTGTTTTCTGAGATTTACCAAAGTCTGAAATGACACCGTGCACTGCGTGGTGACTAACATGCATGCGCTCATAAATGCATACACGCACACATTTCAAAACGCACGCGCATGCATTCGCGTACTAATGGTACAGACAGCTAAACACGCACTGGGCTCACGATTCTACAGGCAAGAGAATTATGAATGATATAAATCTTGATTTCGGGTTCAAAGGATGAAGAAAATAAAACTTGACTGTTGTTCATTCTACAACTACAAAAACTACCATAGCCGTCATTTTGGCTCCATTCCAACCAATGGAATTATAAGAAATTCCACCAACATATTTTAAGCAAATTGTTTTTCAATAGATTTATTATAAGGTATTTACATTTATTATAACTTTACATTTATTATAACTTTCCCGCTTACAGTTAGTCCAGAACTCCGCGGCACGGATTTTAACAGCTTCTTTGCACTAGCTTCCTGTTAATTTTAGAATTGATTTTAAGATTTTATTGTTTGTTTTGAAAACTTTGAACGGACTGGCCCCTCCTTACATCTCGGACCTCATCCAAATTTATCACCCACCCCGCACGCTGAGGTCCGAGAGGACCGTTACCATGACAATTGGTCCGCAGCGCATCACATTTGATATCTTTCCTCAGTAAAAAAAAAAGAAATAATGGGCGACGACTGGGAGCATTCTCTCAGTGAATTCTATTATCCGGACGAGTTTGAAGAACCAGAGGAATTACAGAAAATAACGACAAAAAAAAATAACTAACAGTCAAGAAGAGATTGACAACTTTGTTGCAGACCAGAAAGCTAAAAACACAATAAGGAAAACCAAGTCGGATGTGAACATACTTCACAAATATCTAAAAAGCATTGGTAAAGACACAGAGGAGAGTCATATAATAAAACATTTATTAACCTTGCTTGCTCGGTTAATAAGCCGTTATTACTAGACTATAAGTGCTGGTGAACATAATTGGAAATACTGTAGAGATTTCATAACACTTTGAAACAACTGTAGTTAAAGTTAAACTCATCATTCTAATATGCACGAGACAGTCACAGTACTTTTCCACTTGATGTTTTGGTATCTCAAGGTTGTAGCTACAGGCATCGCGGCGAAAGCTGATTGGACGGTGTTCATTCAACACACTTGCATTTTCTTACATCCTTGTTCGTGTGCTTGAGTTTGTGCTGGCTCTACCATCAATAAAACATGTCTTCTGTCTGAATTAAAGACATGATCCCAGACTTTGGCTGATTTCCAACAATACAACAAAGGTCATATGATAATTGTTACAGTACAGTTGCTATGTTATCTAGTACTGCCTCTTTTTTTGTAGGAATACATGGTAAAACTATATCGCATTTCAAAAACAAGGACATTGAACTACTGGACTGGACTCATAACACAGACGCCCGCTTCAAGAAGGGCCAGAGTCGCCTCTACCTGCTGAGGAGGCTCAGGTCTTTTGGAGTGCAGGGGCCACTCCTGAAGACCTTCTATGACTCTGTGGTGGCATCAGCCTCTTGTACGGTGTGGTCTGCTGGAACAGCAGCATCACAGAGAGGGACAAGAAGAAGCTGGACAAGGTCATCAGGAAGTCCAGCTCAGTCCTGGGCTGTTCCCTGGACACAGTGCAGCAGGTGGGGGACAGGAGGGTCCTGAGCAAACTAACATCTATGCTGGACCATGACTGTCACCCCCTGCAGGACACTCTCTCTGCTCTGGAGAGCAGCTTCAGTGACAGACTAATTCACCCTCGCTGTGTGAAGGAGAGGTTCCGTAGGTCTTTCCTTTCTGCTGCTGTCAGACTGTACAATAAGAACTGCTGAGCCTGTAAATTTCATTAATCTGTAATTAAGTAAATTCTTAAATCATGTGCAATGTGCAACTTCAGAATGTCACAGAACAATGTCACTTTACCTCATGTCACTTTACTTATATACTTTTTATCCTGCACTATTTAACTGTACAGTATATAACTGCACTACTACATATATATTTTTTGACTGGTATTGAAGGATTTTCAGCATCTACAGCTAGTTATGTTAGTTAAGAAACATAGCTACTTATTTGTATATAGTGTATATATTGTGTGTGATCCCTGTGTGCTCTTACTACTGTCCTATACTGTATATGCGATGCAACATCAAAATTTTCCCACTGTGGGACGAATAAAGGAATTTCTTATCTTCTTATCTTATCTCATCTTGAAAGAATCTTTATAGAAACAGAAAAAGACACAAAGTTCTGAAGACCAAAGTCTAGAGTAATTTCTCTTCCAAAACTAAAAGACATTCCTCAAGACAACACATATGCCTCAGCCTGGTGAAGGGCCCTGTTCTGTGGAAAATCCCCTTTTGGGAACCGCATTGACCTTCAACCTGATGAAGACCTTAGGGCAGCTCATCCTCATCCACCTTCGCTCTGAGATCAGCCCCACCCTGAACACATTAGTCCGGTCTTCAGGTCTCTGCACTGGCTTCCTGTGGCTCAGAGGATAGACTTTAAAACAGCTCTGCTTGTGTACAAGTCTCTCCATGGCCTCGCACCAAAATATATTAGTGACATGTTAGTACCATACGAACCAGCCCGGACTCTGAGGAGCACAGGGACTGGACTCCTGTTAGTGCCCAGAGTCAGAACTAAACATGGGGAGGCTGCTTTTCAGATTCATGCTGCTAAAATCTGGAATAATCTCCTTGAAGATGTGAGACAGGCAGGAGGCCTGTCTCACATTGTCTCTCTGACAATGTTTAAAACCAGGTTAAAAACGGTGCTGTTTAGCTGTGCATACAACTGAGGGATTTTTATATTTTTATCTTCCTTTTTAATGTTCTGTGATTATTTATGATTTTAATGCTTTCTTGTTTTGTTCAGTACTTTGAGTTGCCTTGTGTAGGATTTGTGCTATACAAATACACTTGCCTTGCCTTGCCTAGATTCTCCATTGTGAGATCAATCTTATTTCTTGACAAATATTCAACACATACTCACAATGTTAATTTTTCATGATATGAGGCGGAATTGGTTTTCAAAAAATGGGAGTAGAGAAAAATTACATTTAAATTATGAGAAGTCTCAAAAACGTTATTTATCTATTCAACATCTGATTGTTCAAGGAGTGTTTATTTCATAATTGTAATGCATGTATTCGTTAATAGGTTGGAACTGTGTTTTTAATATATACTATTTAAAACTACAATTTTAGCCACTGTGACAATTTAGCGTAATACAAATGGGCGCCATGTTTGTAGTTGTTTTAGCTGGGTACGTTTGTGTAACGTCACATCTGTGCGCGTGTGGTGGGTTTGAACAGGTTTGGGTTTGACACGTTTGAAATGGAAAAAAACAACAAATAAACTTTATATAAAAGCGAAGATCTATCGATTACACAAAGCAATACGTGTAACGCGATGTTCGTGAAACTTTCCGTGATTTTGATCTTCATTATTTTCAACACGCATGCGCAGTCATCAGAGTCATTTATGCATCTCGCGGTTTCATTTTGCGCGCAATATCTGGATTTTGGGCTGTCTTTGGATTTCGTCTTCAATGAAAATGGATATCACGGAAGATGATGACATTTTCCTGGCTGACATCGCTTTGCAAGAATATGCTGTAAGTATATTTATTGGAATTTGTATTAATAATGCTTTATTCGCATTCGATTATTTAGATATATGGAACGGACATATACCATGGGCAAAAAACCATACGGTTGTATTTCAGTTTTGATCGGAAAGCTAAGCTGTCACTAAGACTGAATTTAATAGCAAACTGTATGTTGGAATACTTTTTTCTTACAGGC